ATTCAGAAAACTTTTAGATCTATTTGGACTATGGAATACTTTGACATACCATGTGTACAATTGTCTGCAGGATTTTGTGACTTGACTACAATAATTGAAGAGAGAGGAATTGAGAGTAGTATTTTAGCAGTATAGTTGTTTAGTCTTAATGTAATACTCATATACATGAATGAGTTATGACTATTGCTTGGTTATTATTGCACAATGTATATAATTCCAATATGACACTAATTTAACATTTATTAGAAAGATTCATAATCAAGCTTTAAAAGGTACAAAGCCACTATTAGCATTAAATGTGTTGACGTACTATAGAATTAGCAGAATAGAGAATGGAAGTGAATTGAAGCAAAATCCTTGTTAGAAACATTTATCAAATATTGCTATTTCCCTGGGACAAGGTATAGTGAGATAAGAACTATTTAAAGAATGCAAGTATTTAGTACTTCCTGTGGAATTAGTAGGATGAAATTATAATATAGCAAACTCTTTTTTTAAAGCGAACCAGTAGCATTTGTATAGTATGTAAGATTTTTCTCAATATAAATGATTTCATTGTTTTTTATCCTGAAACCTTTTCTCTGCAATTCTAGTTTAGGTCTTGTCCCCTCACCACAAATTTGTCAACTTGATTCTGTTCTTTTGTTCATACTGTTGTTGAAAAAAATTGCTTATCACAACTGAGTGCTGTGTGGTGTAGTCTTCCATGAGCCTTTACTTTTGAAACACTCTAATGGATGCAAATTATTAAATGAGAGAAGAATTAGTTGACCTACTAGTAAGAAAGAGAAACATCAAAACATGTCCACATATTTGAAATCCAGATATTGTAGCAGAAGTACTCCATGTTAAAGTACTGACCATTTATTGAATTTTTTAAAAAAGGAATGTCCATCATTATTTCAAATGAGAATATGCAAAACTATATTAACCACCTGTTTCATTGCAAAAAATCACAAAGTTTGTAATAATTGTAGAGAGTATATTTTCTCTGGAAGTTCTAAAAAAGTGTGTAAGAATGTATACAAGTGAAAATTAAAGACCAACTTCCCTTTTACAGCAAAGAGGATGTAATCATGACAAATGATATAATAAGAAAGCTTCCTCTTATAGCTTAGCCAGAAAAGCAGCAGTTACCAATGGTTGTAAATTTCTACTAGACTACAAATGAAAATTGAGTGTATAATAATATTGCTCAGATGGATTAAGGTTACAAAACTGAATTTACCGTTGGGATCCACTGAATCTATTTTATGAAGTCGAAAAAGATTCTTATGTAGAGTTCATCTGCACAAAAATGCTTCCACGTGCTATGTTACAATGTTGCTTCTTTGCTTTTGTGCCTCCACCTTCCTAATATTCTGATGTGAAGAAATCTAAGGTATAAAATATTAATTGGGAGTGCATAGTAATTTTTTAATGAGTTATGAATCAAAAGTAAACCAATTAAATCTCAATAGCTTGGTCTACAATATACTGGGAACTTTATACATTTTATTTTACCTTAATATTTTTGTTAAAAATGGAAAAGAAGGGATATATAAGGACAATATCTTCAGATTTGTTAAAACCAGATTAGGGTTTTTTTTTTTTCACTCTCTAAATGTGAACATGCATTTGTAGTTGAACAATGATTTTTTGCTTTGTTTTGTTTTTTCATAGTAGCACTTAATGAACAACTTCAAAAAAAGTGAACATTTTCATTAATAAGGGGCGATTATAGTTAATTACAAAATTGATCTCCATACAACTCAGAAACTTTCTCCTCTTTCCTTTGGTCTATACAATAATGCAGGACAAAAGTTCTTAATGTCTATCTTTAAAGTAAGAAAACCAGTCAGTGAATTTCAACATGTGTGGGGGAAATACGGAAGATATTGCCTAAAATTAATTATATGGGAACTTGTAAATGCTAGATTCTTGCATATGCTTATTTTCATTATCATGAAAATTTTTGTCATACCAAGTTAATATTAAGAAACAAAACCCCTAAATTTTAAAGTGTTTTAATATCTCAACAACTTTATAAGTGTATAACACTATTATAAGTGATGTTAAAAGATAGATCATAAACTATGTTTGAATTTAGAGTCATTGTGAACTTTTTATATGAAGTTAATGGTATTTCTATTCCTTGCTTTTGATTAATACACTTTTCCGATTACTTTTACTTCATACAGTGTTCACCCACCATTTTTGTCATTATGATTATTTTAACACACTATTTTATTGTTCAATTCCAGTAGTTCAGTTTTAATGGAGCGGAAACAAAGAAGGGAACCTACAAAATTTAGTTGGAATTCCAGCCTTTTTCTCTTTCCCCAAATAAGGTTTCTTCATAAATATCATCAATTAGGAACATAGGCTGTACAATAACCCTTAAGTTTCATAATCTGTTAAATAAGAGGTCGATCATTAGTTTCCTGACAAAGTGTTATGTGACCTAGACTTTAAAGAGAAAAAACAATCCAAGTGTAAAGTATTATAAAAATATTATTTTACTAAGAAGCAATAATTGGCTTGTTTCTGGCATAACTTTTACTTCCAATTGGCTAAATAATGTGGCAAGTATATGCACACTGTGTGTATTTGATGAAAGTTTATTTCTTAATGGAAAGTCAGATAAGTACATAAGGCAGGTAAGTAGGCCATGAATGTCAGAGGGCATTGAAAAAAATGGTCAACAAAAGATGCTAAAAAGAAAATAATAATGAATTCATCAGTAGCTTTACCTGCAAAGGCATGTGAACAAAAAGATTCAAGTTCAAGAATTCAACTTTGCTATCATAAAGAGTACTAAATAAATTTATATTATTCACAAATTTCTATTAAAATGATTGCACAAGCAACTGCTTTATCAGTCTTGTTTTCATTGTATTTACATAAAATTTGAAGGAACAATCTGTGTGAAAAATCTTTGGGATTTTAATGGATTCTCTCTAAATGCACGCCAATTGTGCTATAGGGGAGGCAAAAAAATCTTACCCTCTCATTGAGATACAAGAACTTCGTAGTGACTGATAGTACTGAATGACCTTCTGCACAGTTTATTTATTCAAGTGATCTTTTGACGTAGAGTTGGGAAGGCTACCTGCTTCATATTTCTACATAATGAAACACAAAAGACCACATGCAGGGAGGTAGCAATATCAGAAAATGAGCAAGCTGAGTTGAGGTAGTTTCCCCCTTGTTCTGTGAAACAACTTCTTACAATGGAGTTCCTTTCATACAGATTACTATTTGTCAAAGCAAGCGTAAGAACTCAAAATCCACAATGTGTGCGTTTTAGAGTTACCTTAAGCAGTAAGAAATTTTTTATTGCCAAATATATTCCATATATCTGTGGATTAAACACCTTTTAGATGCTAATATTGCCACAACGTAGCACAAGGAAAACTACCACTAAAGCTTGTAGTTCTACACCAACCTAAAGAAAATTGGTAGACTTAAAAAAAATTCACATTAATTGCCTAAAATGGAATGATACACAAAATGTTCTGAGACAATATAAAGATTAAGATATACTCTGGCCCAGCACAACTTTGTTTTGTTATATAGTTTTAAATTGTTATATGAATTATTGGCATTTTCTATACTACTCTTTTTCATTTTGATTTAAGATATTCATTTATAGATGGATGGCATGTACATTTTTGAAAAATAAAACCCCCAAGATATACTACAAAGGATATTGTGAATTGGCAAGTTCATTTTAGCTTTGCCCCAAGTAAGTCTCCATGCTTAGACACTGCTGGTCGAGAATCTGCAATAATTGGAGATATGGACATTTCTTTGAAAGGGTGATTGTTTTTCTGTTTCCTGCTTATATAGAACAATAAAAAATTAGCACAAAAATGATCTTATATACTCTTTGCTGATTCTTGCAGCTTTTAGCCAACTGAGTTAATCTAAATTTCTAACTTTCTCCATAAAGTGGAACTTATGAAAGAGAAAACCTACAACTTTCCCACCAAAATTTGATATTTAAATCTGTGATTGAATGTGGCTTAAAAAATAAACATAGTGGCTACACGTGGCTTCCAAATAAGCACACAGTAACTGTAAGCTAACCTGTTTCACTGTAGGTTGTACATCAGCCAACATAAGCATGCCCATCCCATTTTTCTGGTTAAATCTGTGAAAACTATCATTTTGTGCTTAGATTATTCATCGAGTCAGATTGATTTCTTTTGCATGGCTCACTTGGTCACAGAAGATTAGCAAAATTTATATACTGAAAATGGAAGGAAAGGCGAGAAAAATGAAAAGAATCATTAGTAATATAGTACATACATCAATACAATATCATCTAAATCTCAATCAGTTGTTTATTGGTTGGCAAACAAGTTTCACTTTTACAACAAATATTAGTAATGAGGTCATCCAACTTTGAGACCATACAAAATGGATAAATTTAAAAAAAAATTATATGTGCTGCTGTTTTACCTCTTGTATTCCTACATTACTTAAAATCCTGTCAAATAAATAAATTTTCCTGTTGGTAAACAAAAGACTTGAAAAATCACTTCTAAATAATTTGATCTTTTGATTCTTACTATGAGGGAGTGAATTTCCTCTAAAAATTGGTAGTGCAGGTGCCCACGTGGGGATCAGACTGTGCACTGAGCATTGAATGCCTATGGAATACCACATCTCACATGCAGAAGCCCTTCTAGTTCTACAGACACCGCCTGCCTTCTAGAATCACAGCTACTGACTTGGTGATGAATTGCTTGCCAAATAAGCTTTACATTACAACAGATGTGCCCTGGAAATGTAAAAGTTCCATCCTGTTCTAACTTGCAAAAAAATGTGGTTGGAAATAGTCTGGCTGGATAAAGGTATATACTTGGAAATAGTCTGGCTGGATAAAGGTATATACTAAGGGAAGGAAGTCGAATTTTATTCATTTTATTTTATTTTTTGTAAAAAATAATTTGTTTGCATTACTAGAAAATGATTCTTATAAAGTGATAGTTTCATTTATTTATTTATTTTTTGCCAGGTGAAATTTTAAAAGAAAAAAAATGGAACAAAATTAAAAGAAAATGAAAAAAGGAAGGAAACTTTGCTCTTTTACTGGTAGACAAACTTGCAAGACTAGCACAAAAGAAAAAGGAAATTTCTTTTTTTTCCCACTACATTAACAGGACTGAAATTCTGGAGGAACAGAAAGCAGCCTATGTGTGCAATGCTAGTATCTGTACATTACATAGAAATTGTTCAATTTTTTTCTGCCATTAGTTTTATCATCAGTTAATACAACAAATCATAAAATATGCATTTAGCATATAATTCTAGAATTCCCCTCCATTTGATTATTTATTTTGTTGTTTATTTTGTTTTTCACAGCTATTTCTGCTGTGGTGAATTCAGGTTGTGAGTGACCATAAACCACTAATGCAGTACAGTTTGGCTTTGCTTTTACATTTGTGCAGCACTCCAATCTAGATGCAGCATTGTTACTAATCCCAAACAATTGTTCTGGCCTTTTAAAAAAAAAAATCAGGTCCTTGTCATTATAGTAACAGAGCATCAGAGATGTTAAAACAAACACAACAGAATTCAACAAGGCCACAATGAGCGCCATTTTTCTTCATATCTCATTCATTAACATAATGAAGTCTCCATCTGAGGGGAAGGAGGACCAGAAAGGATAAGGGCACAGGGGGAATTTCAGCAGTTATCGTTCTCCCCTGGGCTGACTAAAAATCCCAGTTTTTTTTTTTTTTTTTTAAAAAGAATATAATAAAGTCTGAGAGTTTGTGTTTGTCTTTTGAGAACAGCATAAAGATTTAGGAGTACACACATGATTACCACTGCTTATATCAACTCAGAAGAACAGTCAACAAGGTGTTAGCAGTTTTGTTGCTTCCTGTCTGTGTCATCTTCTATAGGCTAGTGACCAGATGCGCAGGTCCCTTTGCACTGGCCTCGGGAGAGGTCCCGTCCTTGTTCGGAGGAACAATAAAGCCATCACTGCTGCCACGGCCCAGCTGGTAGTAGGTGTGCAGCTGATGCACGTGGTTTCTGGAGCCCAGGTTTGGCATGCTTTTGTAGTAAACGTCTTCGGCATCAGCACCTTTGGCGGCCTGGGGCTCGGTCTGGGTGCTGGTGGTGACGCTGTCGTTGGGCACACCGGCCAGGGCCGGCATGCTAGTGTAGAGAGAGTCCCTGTGGGGTGACTGCAGCTCTTCCGTGTGCTCGTTGGTCAGCAAAGGGAAGAAGCTCTCGCTGTGGTCTTGGGGGATCCGCCTTCTGGTATAGTGAAGTGGCTGGTGGTTCTCGGTGGAGTAAACCCTTGGGGGCAGCAAGGGCACGTCGGATTCCTCATGAATGAGTTCCAGGCCCAAACTCTCCTCGTGGTTAAAGGAAGTGGCGTCGTCCAGGACAATGGCGTCATCTTCACTCCCACTCCCCAGGTTGTTCACCAGCTTGTTCATCAGATTCCGGTTCTGCTCGCTGGAGCGCTCGTGGTTGTTCAGGTAGGAAGGGATGTAGTTGGAAGTGAGTTCCTTCAGAATCTTTTTCTCTAAGGCGGTCTCGTTGTGGTTATAGCCACGGTCTATTATTTGCACACAGTTGCTCAGGTATTCGCCGCTGGCGATGCTGTAACTATTGCCATGGTTACCATTCAGTGGTAGAGTATCCATGACACTTGTATCCCTGGCATTGTTCAGAAGCCCCTCTGAAAAAGATTACAAGACACTATGACATGTATATCCAACAGGCCATGGCACACACACATACACACACAAACACAGAAGCAAAAACATTCACTGACTATGACATATGTATAAATTGCTAGCGTTTTAACAAGTCTAAAATATTTGGGAAGAAACAAAAGTACTATAAATCTATATGTACGTATCAATATGTATGAATATAATTGAGCAACTGGAAGAAATCTTATAAATGCAAACGAAGTATTTAAAATAAATTTTAAACCAATTCTTTAAAAACCTGTAATTTATAAATTTGCAATTTCTACATGTTTTGTGACATTATTTGAAGATTATTTGATTGTAATGGATAAAATAAAAATTTTGGTGTAGTCAGTCAAAGCTTTCAATTTATACACATCAAAGTCAATTAAATAGTCATTACCTTTAATGTCTTATCACTGAAATAACTACAATATTAACATAATTCCTGTGTGGTATTTTGAATATGCTGGTCAAAAGTAAGAAAAACAAATAGATTCTAATAATTTGATATATAATTTTGTAAGATTAAAAGTAGACCCTACACACAAAACCACAAAAGGATTATGTTAAATTTGTCAGAATGATGAGTCATGAATTAATGCTTAGGCAAATACATGGCACATCAAAATGATTGAAGCATTAAGAATTTTCAAAAGTATTTGGATTTACTTTATATATTTCTATTATAGTCATTTTGGTTATTATTATAATATTAACCCACTGGTAATTGTTTAGGGCCACTAAGTAATACTACATGAGAATGTACGAAAACACAGGGATTTGATTCCTAAAAACACATGTCAGTATTAAAGTTACCATTTTTATAATGAGTGTTAACTTTGGGACATATTAAACTTTGGTTTGAAAACAGGATAAACATTTTAGTTTGGTAAGGAACAGCTGTAGTGAAATAAATTTGACCACATAGTTTTTCAAGGTTTCTGCATTCCCTTGAATGAACAGAAGTTCAAGAATATATAACAGTTTCATAAATCACTAAAAATGCAACCACAAAAGAAAAAAAAACACAAACATTTAAATTGTGGTAAATAAGGAAGGGTATCTCTTCATAGAATAATAAACTAGATAATTCTCTTAAACTTCTCAATACCCTGTTAACTTGTGAAAATATAGCACTCATTCTATATCTGTGATGCAGCCATGTTTATGAGAACTCAGCTAGTTCAGTGCTGGTTTAAATGAAGTGTTGCATATGTGCTGATTTTATATGAACTTCTTCATGTCCTGTATTTAAATAGCACAGTTTTAATAAGCAACCATCACAGACATAGGTTGAAGCGATTTATTTTCATGTCATAAGATATCTTGTACACAAATCCACAATGTCAAGAAAAAAAAAAAAGTCAATGCCTTTTAAAGGGCCGTGTGTGATGGGTGACTGCTATTGAAGAGGCTGAGATGTTTAATGGCTATGGTTGGGTAGATGATGCATTGAAACGTGTTTTTTATTTCTGTTGTCAATGCATTAGGTATGGACTGAAAACAGCCAGGGTGAAACAAAGTGGGTGTGCTGCAATGTGACACACTGTTATGATGGAATGTACTAATATAAAGTAAAAGTTCATGAATTACTCAGCAAAAATAAATGCTTAATTTAAAAACAATTTAACTCACACAAACATTACATGAGACTTAACGGCTATGTTGATTATGTGACAGAATAAAAGAATCAGACAGTAAAAGCGTCTAATCTCTATTAGCATATATTTATATAAGTTGAGATTTATAGGCTTTGTAGTTTTTAAATTGTGAGATGAACTGTTTTTAATAACTACATCATCTATATGTGATGCAATAAAAGTGAACTAAAAAAAATTACATTTGATATGCAATGTTTAGCTTTACTCCCATACTTGTCTCTCTGTAGGGCTCTAAACGACAGCATGAAGAAAAGGAAAGAAAAAACAACAAGTAAGCTTACAGCGACAGTAGAAGGAACATGAGTAAAAAGCAAATTGATGATATGCAGAAAAAGAGTCAAAGGAAATAATTTCCACTGCCCCAAAATTCATGAGTCTGTGTTACATGGTTTACCATAATTAAAAATACTGAAATGTTAGTCAGAAAATAAGAAATCCCATTTAACACATGCCAATATAATGAGTCTTTAATACTCATTTCTACAGTTTGTAAATTTCAAACACATACACATTTATATTATTACAGTTCAGATTGTCACATAAACCAAAGAGAGTAAAAAGAGGGTGAGCAATGATTATTTCCACCACTGTATTTCAATATCATAATTGTATAATTTTGGAACACACCTGCTTATAATGAGCATCATACAATTTTAGAATTTATTAGTGAAGTTCTAAAAGAAATTTTTGGCTTGTATACAGAGAAAAAAAAAGAGTTGAAGGTTTCCGTAGCTGCTCTTTTTACACTATGTATCTTCTCTTTCCCTACATAAAGGTTCTTTCCCCTCACTGTATCTATACATACGATGCATTACTTAAAAATGAAATCTAATCAATAGTGCCATTTCTGGAGCTCATAATCAGAAGTAGTTTAACTACAGGGAGAAAAAAAGGTTAAATCCATTTATTATTCTGTAACAAGACAATATGTAACAGAGAAAAAGAGTATTAGCAATACCAGGTTTTCCTTCAGATCACTGTACAATCATATGCAACCAAACATTTTAAGAGTGGGTGCATTAAAAATCCTAACAAAATTATTTTTAAGAGAAAACTCATATTTAAATAAGGTCAGAAGAATTGCTCTTGCTGGTTGTATTTATAGGAATGTTGAAATATCATAAAATAAAAACCAGTGAACTCATTGGGCCAGATTATTTCCAGGGCTTCCAAGTTGTTTGAGGGTTTTTGCCACTAATTTTTTATTAGTGTACGTTAATTGTACAAAGTAATGAGTAGATTGTGACATTTTCATATGTGATTATAGCATACTGTGATGACATTCGCTGTTGAAAGGGACAGTTTTTATACGTCAAAGGTAGATTTGCTTCTCAGCAAGAAGAGCTACAACATTTCAGAATGCAGAGGAAAATCTCTTTTAAAGTTTCACATTAACTTTAGAATAAGAATTTGAAATGAAGAGCCAAGCTGTTTAGGAACAGATGTAAATGCTTAGAGGCTCACTGTGGCTCATTTCTTAAATACGAGAGATCAACAAAGTTCAATCTGCATTTTTCAGAGATCAGGAAACTGCCTCCCACAGAGGCTGAGCCTAACCTAGGGCTGCCCTTCTGAAGGGCAGAGCTGGGATGGGAAGGGCTCTCCAGCCTGCTCCCAACTCTGCCGCAATCTCCTCTTTGCTTCTGCCACAGGCAAAGCCTTTATAAACTTTATAGTACAGCTTGTATTTACCAACTATAATGTATCCTTCATTATATCCCATCCTATGCCTATGTCTTTCTTTAAAGTTTTAGAATTGAATTCACTTACTTTGAAATGTAAATTTATTCTAGTAAAATCATAACTTCCTCTTTATAGTATGCTGTGTTGACAGCTTTTTCTATAATGATAAGACTTATCTTAACAAAAAATAAGTTTCTAATACTGACAAGAAGATAACGTCCAGAAATACTGTGCATGAAATTGTAAATATTTCCACAGACTCTGAATTCAACATAATTAAGGTATACTATTCACTTTTATTTTTAACTCTATGTATTTTAATAACTCTATAAACACATCACATATTTTAAATAATAAACAGGAATGCACACTTGAAGTCTGAATGTTTCTATGCCTCCGCAGCATTGGTAAATTGGAATTAGAGGACCCACGGAACAAAAGCAAGTGGTAGCTGCACATGAACCACTTGAGCATATACTCAGCACCTACATTTCAAATAAGATTTCACCTTGCCAGTAAGAATGTAAGTGCATTCATCTGAAAACATAAGGTTAGTAGTAATATCACAACCACCAAAATTTATTTTTGGTTAGTGGTAAAATAATTATTTTAAGCACTATCATAGTTTCTTAAGTTTAAAGGAAGTACTATAATATAAAATAGTTGAACAATGCCACTTTGAATAACTTTAACAAAATAATTTACTTTTGTATTTTAAGAAAAGTCAGTAGGACATATTAAATTTACTGGAATAAGGGACAAATTCATTCAGATGAATTTGAATTATCTATTTTTATTGATAATTTTAATAGCAATAATTAGTAATGGATTCCACAGGAATAAAACTATGTGTCTATATGATATTATTTTAGATTTTACATTGTAAAAATTTTGTTTTAATAATTTTTTTTCTTGCTATGCAGCCCAGGCTGACAATGAACTTGTGATCCTCCTGCCTCAGCCTCACAAGTGCTAGGATTACAGGTGTGTAACACCATATTCAGCTGATTTAATATTTTTTCATGAAATGTTTCATCTTTTTTTTTTTGGATGATGAGAAGGCAGATAATGAATTAGGGAAACCCCCAAAACAGTAAACAAAATGTGATCCAAACTTATTACTTATTTAAAAACAATTCTGTGTAAGATAAATAATGTAGAGTACATTTAATTTGCAGATATGGTACAAATCTTCATTTAACATCATTTAAAATTTACTAATATGGCAGCACACTTTAAATGTTACTAATGACATATTTACTTATCACTTGAGTTATGAAAAATAAAGAGAACAAAATAATAAAACAAGACTTTATAAGGCCTGCTAAATTGTTCTGCCAAACCACATCAGCTGCACTGTAATGTATGACTCATAGAGCACTACAGTGGAACAGGACTTTGACAAATAAGAGACAATATGGAGAGAGTGACCCTGAAAAAGGCCTCAGAACTGTCTCGTACTGATAGTTTTGTTTTGTTAGGGAAATGGAAGACCAATAGAAAATAACATGACTACTTTCAAGTCCTTAAAGGATTGTCAAGAGACACCAAGAGAATGCTTTGCTCTTCTTTGCTCTAGGGGCAAACCTGAGCATCACAGCCATAGAACAAATGGGATTTCAACAATAGAATCATGA